CGCGGGTGTTTTACGGGTGCCCAGGGCGGTTGTTTGCGCGGGACCTTGTCCCGGTGCGGAGCCGGCCCTGGGGTCGCTCCCGTGTTCGGAGCAGTCGGGATTTGGTGAAATTTGGGATTTGGTGAAATTCGGGCTCGGTTTCCGTGGGAGCTCCTCGTACCTGAGCTGCGGGTCGGGAAGGAGGAGGTGCCRGGCGAGAAGGAGGAAGTTTCCGGATGGGAAAGCTGAAGATTTTCAAGGCTTGTTTCGTGTTCTGGAGGGTGACGTGGAGGGAATTTGGGGAAGCRGGAAAAGGAGTAATAAATAGGTCCTTGATGTGCAGGGCTTTGCAAAAATAACTGCAAAAATAAGAGAAATGGTGAAAGCAGGAGGGCTTTTTGAACTGGAAATAAGCTTGAGAGCAATAATAACTGAGAAGTGAGCTGAAAAATGGGGAAAATACTSTGTATGGGGAATGTTGTCCGAGGGGGGAAGATGAAAGTGGAGGGAGGTGTGAAATTCAGGGCGCTAGAGCACGTTCTGGTTGGGAACCTGGGTTTTTTGTACCCGAGAAGTGCAGGGAAATGGGTACAACCTTTAATTGCCCTAACAGGAGGTGCCCCCTGTGCCCGGAGGGCAGCTTTAGCCTGAGGGGTTTCTAGAAATTCTGTAAACAAGCTTCATCCGGGCTGATTTCAGTCGTTTTCCTGCCTTTGTGAGATAGTTTAAGTAAGGTTTTAGATGTGTGAGAGGGAACATTGGGATTTTATTGGGATTTCAACAAGGGAAGTTTTTCCACAGTGCAGAACTTTAGTGTCCTGTTGGGTTGACAAGTGTTTGGAAGAGCTGATGATTACCCAAAATATGTTTTTGGGTAACATTTTGCACTTAAGTGCTGCAGTCCCCGCTGGTACCGGGGTGCTCCGAGTCTCCGTCGGCCGTTCCCAGAAACAGGACAGAGGTTTTTAGGAAAACGCTTCCGGAGAAACAAGCTGTAGACCGTGTTGTGCAGAGCACATGGAGCTGCAGGAGCGGGCAGGTGCATTCAGGGGCTTGTGCTGGAGTGAGCGAGTGCTCTGGGAGGTGTATTCCTATTGTATTAAAAATTATAAAGGAAATAAAAACACGTTTTCAGCGTGGGATTTCAGTTGTGGGTGCCCAGGGAGTGCTTCCAAGCACTTTATTGCCATCCTGGCTGTTATGACTCCTGAGAAACTTAAAGGAATTTTTATAATTAAGCTGAGATGTGAGAGTTTAGCGTGTCAGTGCACTAATACAAATAGTGAGCGTTACTTGGTGAGTTTTCCTGGATGTGTTTTACGTTTTTCTTTGGGCAAAACAGAGTAATTCTGCACTGCTGTAGCTTTGCTAATGCCGCCAGCAGAGGAAACTTTCCTAGATAATACTGGTATTTTTAGTGGTGGAGTAATTAAAAACATCCAGTAACTCTGGCTGCCGATGGCACTGCCTTGGTCGTGGCTGAGGATCTACTGTGATTTTGTTTGTGTTTCCACTATCAAGCTAAGGATAAAGCAGTATTGCACTGTGGCCATGTCTGCGCTCGGGAAGGAGCCGGGAGCGTTGGTACCAGTCCTAAACGTGCGCGTAGATAAAAYGGGAGGTGCTGAGGGCACCTCAAGGGGCCCAAGGGGCTGGTGAAGTTTTGGGGCGGCGTGTGAGCAGTAAATCACAGAAATCCGATTTCTGTGAAATCGGAACGTGGCGGGAGGCCTGTTCCTGTTGAGCCCTTATTGATCCACATTGATGCTGCTAAAGCACGAGTGCCCTTGACTTTAATCCTGAGTCTCTGCGTGAGCTTAGATCTCGCTTCCTTGCCTATCGTGCTTTAAGTACCCGGGTTGCTCGTGTCCTTAGGGAGGCAGATGAGAAAGGGCTTTTCCAATGGCTTTACCTAAACGCTGAATTCATTTTTCTAGGTTTAGAAAGAACTAACGCATCCTGAAAATGTTTAACAAATCCTTTGGCACTCCGTTTGGAGGCAGCACTGGCTTTGGGACAACTTCCACTTTTGGACAAAGTAAGTAGCGCTTCCAGGTTTGTCCTGGGGCTTTCTTCAGGGCACAGAATGATTTTTTTTGTAGAGGTGCAGCTTAAAGGGTGGGAAGCTGTTTGGGTGCAGCAGCCGAACCATCGCTAGGCTCAGCATGGCAGGGAGCACGGGTGAGTCGGGCTGGGCAGTGCCAGGCCTATCTGCTACCACAGGCCAGTGAAACTTTCACAGAATGGTTAAGGTTGGAAGGGACCTCTAGAGATCGTCTAGTCCCATCTTTCCTTCCCAAAAGGAGCAGACTCTCATGTGCCGAAATGAAGGGAGTCCTGGGGGAAGATCCTATCAGTCAGGACTGGGATATGTTGGGAAGACAGGGAAGGAACAAGCATGTAGTCAGGGTCCTACTGCTGCATTTCGTTCTTAATATTTAGGGTAGACRCCCTTAGAGCAGACTAGCTATAAATCGGTGTACAAGTTTGCTGTGGTTTTCACAGCATGTGTTTGCTCCTCTTAATCTTGTTCCCAAACAGGGGCAAAAATACCAATATTTGAGTGTTGTAGCTGGTCCTGGAGACCGTGCAGATTAGCACAACTGTCTTTACTTTCTGCAGCAGCAGCTGGCACTAACCTTTGTAGCCCTCTGCTTTAAGAGCTTTGCGGATGTTAAATGCCACGCTTCACGTGCGTGCGAGTYGGAGCTGTACGGTTGTGGGCAGACTCCTTTTGCGAAGCTCACAACACAGTAACAGAGCTTAGTTCCTAGCAGACACCTTTGAAACAGGCTGTCCTCTAAGCTGTGGTGCTCTCCTCAGATGCCGGCTTCGGTACCACAAGCGGAGGCGCGTTCGGCACATCGGCCTTTGGCTCCAACAACAACACRGGAGGCCTCTTCGGGAGCACGCAGACAAAACCAGGTGCGGCCGCCTTCGCCTCTCATGCAGAACACCCTGCTGAGCAAGGSGGGGCTCATAAAGCTAAAAAAGAGACGAGCCAGGGGATCTTGGTCATGGTTGATAGTCTCTTTCTGTGTTCAGGAGGACTGTTTGGTTCCACTACGTTTAATCAGCCGGCTACGTCCTCCACGAGCACCGGCTTTGGCTTCGGAACATCCACGGGAACGTCCAACAGCCTCTTTGGAACCACCAGCACTGGCGGCGGGCTCTTCTCCTCGCAGAATAATGCGTTTGCCCAGAATAAGCCGGCCGTCTTTGGAAGTGAGTGGGAGTTTTTGAGCTCTGSTTGCTTTCATGTGTGTGGATTTGARACAGGTGTTGACACGAGCCTCTGTMTGCCCCTTCCCTGAAGGATATATTGGCCATACTTGCTGTCTGTGCACAGTATGCAAAACTGAACCAATGCGGTGCAAAATCAGCAGCTAATGATTATAGAAAAGCGTTTTAAAATAAATTGCAAGTGGTCATCGCCAGCACTGCCTTTGGGTCTAGGTCATCCGAGCTTTCCATCCTGCAGCTGCCTTGCTTGTGGCCCTGGGGTGTTTGAAATGCCTCTTAAACCCTCCTGTGATTCCCTGARGCAGAAGCAATGACTTGCAGACCCTTCTGAGCAGGACAGAAATCTCCCTGCTTYCCTGTGTCTGCATCGTTGTCTTGGTGTTGGTGTCAGGAGCCAAGTGAAACCTGGTTCATACAACTTGCTCGTATGACCTGGGGGGGCAGTCACCTGCATCCTGCTAATCCAGCGCTCTGCTCTAGCTTTCCTGCATGGCCATAAACCTTAGGAGCAGTTTTTTTCATTTTTTCCATCTTTTTTTTTTCTAATTTGAATAGAATATTTGAAGTTTTGCACTTTTTTTTTTGTTTTTACATTTCTCTTTTAGACTTCGGAACTAGTACGAGCAGCGGAGGTCTCTTTGGAACCACTAACACGACCTCCAATCCTTTTGGGAGTACATCTGGCTCTCTTTTTGGCCCGACCAGTTTTACAGCTGCTCCAACTGGCACCACTATTAAGTTTAACGTAAGTTTTGCCTGTCTTAATCTAACCTGTTTATTATGGGAAACATTAAGTTTTGTAGACCTTGGGGTAAATTACAACACAGATAATTCATATGCAACYGTGCAGGGCTCTAAAATTGCTTGAAAACGTGGCAGAACTGTTCCAGAGGAGGTGACACGGAGAATTAACTCATCATGAACGCGATCACAGGAGCCCTTTATCCCGAGCTTGGTGGGCTGCTCAAACACCACGAAGCAGAGCCCTAGCCAGGCTTGTCACGCTCATCCTCATCTTCAGTACAACCATCARCCAGCCCTTAAAATCGAACCTCCTCTGGAGGGCTGCTTGTTCTCTTTGCTTCAATAAATACGAGTAGCAACAGAGCCTAAAGCCATTTAAGCTTGAGATTTACGTGAGGACACATATGTTAACCCAGATCTAGAGAGACGAACTGCCGCTTGCAGRCCTGTTGCCTTTGTGGTTGCTCTATGAGTTCCCTTTAAGGAAGAGTAGAATAGCAAAGCTTGAAGGTTCTTTGGCAGTTGAAAGCGAAGGATGTCTTGGAGAAGGAGCTATCATGGAAATGGGGTAACTGCTGAAGAGAGGGGTGGTTTTTCTGAAATACTGGATCAGTCTGGAATGAGAGGGGCTGATTCTTGTGCGAGATAATTTGGCAGGTGGAGATTTCCTGCTTGTCCTTGCCGGGTGTGGGCAGGATTGGGATGTCCCCTCRGAGGCCGTTGAGGTGGACACACGGGATAGTAAGAAAGATCCTGGGGATAATAATCAAGTCCCTGAAGAGCTGGCRGATTCATATCCCAAACCTGGGGAATCTCTTTCGAAACTGAAACTGCCTTGTTCCCTGGGTGGTACCAGGGTAAATTCCGCTGTTGATTGCTTTACTGCTGGGTGAGATCACAGCTCTGTGGATAATGCTGAAACTATTCCTGCACTAAACTTAGGCTTTGGCAGTATCTCACGGGAGAATTGGGCTTGTCAACTTGCTGTCTTGACCTCTTCTCTTGCAGCCACCAACTGGGTCCGATACTATGGTAAAATCTGGAGTTAGCACCAACATCAGTACCAAGCATCAGTGCATTACTGCTATGAAGGAATATGAAAGCAAATCTCTCGAGGTCAGTCAAGAAATGTTTAAACGGGGCTGTCTCGCTTGGCTCTTAATTAACGTCATTTTAGCAGAGCTTCTGTTGTGATGAGCACTCTTGGTGCGTGTTGGTATGAGTAGGATGCACAATATCAGCATCACTCACCAAATAGGGGCAGCATCAATTAAAACATTCAGTGTTACGTTAATTGGTTTTGCTTTTAATGGTTAATGCTGCACTTTCTGGAGACTTGGTATTTTTATTTTGACACTCTCTAGGAGAGAGCTGTCCTGGTGGAAGTCACCCTGTATTGCTGGGATAATGTCACACCCCAAACCTCGCAGCTCTCGGAGTTCCTTACAARCATAAATTTATAACCCTGAACCCCTTTTGTTGAACTTAGCTTGTAGGATGCTACAAAAGAGGCCTTTGAGTGAAAAGATCTGAAAAAGCTCTTAGCCCAAGTATGTCTGGAACRCACCATAAACTTTGGGTCCTGTTTACAGTGTCCCCAGCCTCCTTTTTTTATGAATGTTACAGCTTTTCTTGGTTTACACTAAACTTCAGCTAGTGTAAACATGCTAGCAGCACTTCCTAACCTTATCCTGGATTTTCCTTTGCTAGGAACTTCGCTTAGAAGATTACCAGGCAAATAGGAAGGGACCTTCGAATCCAGTAGGAGCAGGAGCCCCTGCCGGGTTGTTTGGGTCCTCTACTGCCACGTCAAGTACAGCCACAGGACTTTTTGGCTCTTCTACCACTAATACAGGCTTTTCGTACGTGCAGAACAAAGCCGCTTTCGGGACAAGTAAGTGGTGCCTCTCTGTTGTCTTTGCTGTTGTTCCTCATTCTTAGAAAGTGCAAATAGGTGATTTATTTAAAATTCAGTGAAAAAGCAGTGCTATCAACTCATGATTTGCCTCATTGTATTRCCAATATTCAGCAATTGGATTCTCTGYCATAGAGAAGTCTGTTTATTTATCATTTAATAGTTGTACTGAATTTATACATCCSCTGTTTCCCAAGGGACGTGCTGGAKAACGGTGCWTTAGTGCATCTTGCTTTTCAGGACAGTCAGCAGGGTTGTGTGAGCCAGTAAAATCCATTGAAATACAACATTGGAAGGTTGTATTACTGTTTGCTGGAGGGATAGAATCAGCTGCCTAAAGGTGAAGTCYAGATTCCGCCGCTAAGGACAGCGGACATGAATTCCCTGGAAATGGAGCTGATAATTTATAGCAGCCGGGCTTGGCTTTGCCAGGAACTTCTTTCACAAGTCGGACAGGGATGCAGTAAAGATCTGTTAAACCTTGGACCATCTCGGTATCCTTAGACCAAGATTAAACGCCCCATGTAAAATAATTCTTATAAAATACTGGCATGTCTGGTAGTTGCAGGCCAGATGGACTAACTAGTTAGGGGACCTTTGTGGACTTAATGTGAAGCAGATCTTGCTGAGAAGATGAAACATCCCCTATTTTTCTGTGAAACGGTTGCACTGAGGCTTGCACTGCTAGGATCCATCTCTGGCCTTGCTCRAGGCCCTTGCAGATTGAGCCAACTGGTGTGTTTGCTAAGATCAGTGTGTGGCTGTCTGTGACCCTGTGCACATTGCAACTGTTGATTAAGTGGACTGCCTGGAGCATCTTCTTTCAGGTTTGGGTGTACTGGAGATGTGAGTAGTTTGTATAAATGCTCGAGGCCTCATAACCCATTTGTTTCCACCCCRTAGGTACGACTGGCTTTGGAACAGGCACGACAGGGAGTCTTTTTGGGCAGCCGTCCCAAACGACCAGTCTGTTCAACAAGCCCTTTGGGCAGCCCACGACGACGCAGAACACCAGCTTCTCCTTTGGGAACACCAGCACTCTGGGGCAGCCCAACACAAGCACCATGGTAAGAGAAATGGCTCAACTGCTGAGAGGTGCCAGCTGTGACAGAGCTACTGTCCCAACTGGATAAAGTTGGATATAGTGGTTAAGAAATTTCCCTTACACTGCAGTAGGGCTTCATAAAACTAGGGACTAAGCTAAAAAGTTGGAAAAAGTTATCAGATAAATGGATAGCAATATATTGTTTAACAAGCACCTGTTCTGCATTCCCTTCTCTAAGGAGGCTGTTGTCTCTAACTCAGTATTCCTAACCACATTCACACAGTTCGTATCGCTTAATTAGTAACGTTCTGTGGGAATTAATATTAAGTGTTTTGAACTTTCTTATGGGTAAAGAGCAGCATTCTGGGGTGGTTCTGATAAAAGGTGGTACGTGTAATGTTGCCTTGCCAGAGGCTTCAGCTCCAAACGTGCTGTGTTCTCTCTGAATATTCTGTGCCTTCTATCTGAAACACTTGTCCCTGTGTCCTGCCCCTGGGYAGGAATAACCCCAGGCACCAGCAGAGATSAGGGGTTGGCCTGCTGGAGAGCAGCTCTGCAGAGAGGGACCKGGGGGTCCTGGGGACACCAAGGTGCCCATGGGGCAGCCCCGGTGGCCRAGGAGGCCAATGGGCTCCTGGCTGCATYSGGAGRCCGCTGGCAGCAGGGCAGGGAGGGGATCCTGCCCCTCTGYTCMGCTCTGGGGAGGCCAAAGCTGGAGCCTTGGGGGCAGCTCTGGGCTCCCCAGGAYRAGRGGSAYGTGGAGCTGCTGGAGAGGGGCCAGCGCAGAGCGACAGGGCTGAGGAAGGGCCTGGAGCARCTCTCGTGTGAGGAGAGCCCGAGCGAGCGGGGCCTGTTGAGGCTGGAGAAGAGGAGGCCGAGAGGG